ATGTGATGGGAACAAAGCAGAGTGGGAGCTTCCTTACCTGGCAATGCTTTTGAGGGGAAACGCACATGTAACTATGCAGCTTAAGTGATCCTTCCTTGTTCCTTCCTCACGCTTTCGCACTTGCACATAAGGCGCAGCTTAAATTTGCTGAACTCTCTGAATTGTCATGCCAATTCTCTTCCTGCCCCAAAGAGGCCTTCGTTGTGTGTCGGCAGAATAGGAGAGGAGTGTTTCATTTTACAAACTCATCTATTTATTGCTTTTAGCCACTAGGCAGAGAATTTACCTTTTGGGGGTGAGGCGTTAGTGCGTAAAGATGCTGTTGCTGGTTTCCCCGCTGCCACCGAAGGTGCTCTAGATCTCTGGAGTCTTTAAAAATGTTAGTGCCTTTTACAGTTTTGAAACTGTATTAATATTTTGGGGGGTTGTCTTTGCTATTTTCAGTGTTACAGACTTTCTTCTTTTTGTTAACACTTCTGGCTAAATGTCTGACACTGAAGGAGAGTGAAACACTGAACATGGGGGACGCTGAAATGCTAGGTGGTGGGATGAAACTGAAGAACATGATGTTTTCCTTGAGACTGTTCACATGCTTCTGTTGTTCAGAAAAACAATGACTTCACGTAGGGAACACAAACCTTTATCTAGACAGAGCTTTTAAATGATTGTGTGCTTTTAAATGTATTTGACTTGGAATAGTAATATGTTCCAGGTATTATGCCAAAACTGTTTGACAGTGCTGAGTTCTCCTGAAGAGACTTGCTTGCATACCAGAAATAGTCTACAAAGACCTTATTTCCTCCATATGGATGTAGAACTCCTTGGTTTAAAATTTGCTGACTTGCACATATTTTGAGCCAAGTCTGATAAAGGCTCAGTTGAAAAATGACTGCGTTGGTTTCTGGAGAGCTGATCCAAATTCTGCACGCTGCTGAACAAACTTCTCATTGTTCAAACTCGGGATGAGTGCTGGAGCGTCATGTTGGCTACTAAGATTTTGTTCCAGCATCTAATACCGTTCGGAGATGTCTCACCTTTGTGTGAAGACTTTGGAGTGGGGAAGTGTTACTTGCTGGAAAGCAGCTCTGCCGAGAAGGACCTGGGAGTGCTGGTGGACAACAAGTTAAGCATGAGGCAGCAGTGTGCCCTTGTGGCCAAGAAGGCCAATGGTCTGCTGGGGTGCATGAGGCAGAGTGTTGCCAGCAGGTGGAGGGAGGTGATCCTGCCCCTCTCCTCAGGCCTGGGGAGGCCTCACCTGGAGCACTGTGTCCAGTTCTGGGCTCCCCAGTACAAGAGAGACGTGGCACTCCTGGAGAGAGTCCAGCGGGGGGCTACCAAGATGATGAGGGGACTGGAGCATCTCTCCTCTGAAGAAAGACTGCAAGAGCTGGGCCTGTTCAGCCTGGAGAAGAGAAGACTGAGAGGGGATCTCATCAATGTGTGCAAGTATGTGAAGGGAGGGTGTCGAGAGGATGGGGCCAGCCTCTTCTCCGTGGCGCCCAGTGACAGGACAAGAGGCAGTGGGCAGAAACTGAACCACAGGAAGTTCCATCTGAACCTGAGAAAAAACTTCTTCACTGTGAGGGTGACTGAGCACTGGCAAGATAAAAGATCTGGTTGTGTACTCTAAGGTAGCAAATATTATCTATTCATGAGCTGCCTTCAGGGACATGAGTTTTTACTTTGTTGCAACTAAAGCAAGCTCAAAAGCTAGCTTCTCTTCTCATCCTAGCTTTGAAAAATAAGGGGGAAAAACATCTAGCAAAGCTTAAAGCTTCTGGTGTGGCCTTTTTCTCTCTCACTGACAGTTGGAAAAGGATTTTGGTGTCTGTGGAGCTTCCTCAGTTGATTTGATAGTGTTTATCTGAATACTGCGGTGAGGTCTGAACAGAAATGCTGCTTGTTGGCAGCGTGCTGAAAACAGGCGGGTGCCTTTGCTTTGCTTATGTCAAGTGATGCAGAGGAGCAGGTCCTGGGTACAGGTGCTTGGGGCCGCGCCTAGCTCCCTAAATGCTTCATAGCCCTCTGTTTTTGGCGCTCTGTAAAATAAATAATGTTTTTCCTGAGGAGAGTTGTTGGAGGGAAGCCGAAGCAACCCTACTGAAACCAGATTCTGTGTTATTACCGCATATTGTGCAAAGCCAAGGTCCAGGCAGTTCAATTTGGCATGGGTGTCACTAACCCTAAAGCCTAGCAAGTGCTCTCCAGGAGATGTTACAGGAAGTGGGCCAAGTGGCTGGAGGTACTAATTAACATGCAAAAGTTTAATTGTCTGTCAAAAGCTAAAAAAGGTCCCTTGCCCTTCTTGGTTTCAGACCACCTGCTTCATGTTCATTCCCTCTTGCCATAGCAGCTTTCTCCACCTTCTTCATCTTCCCTTCGAGAAGAGGCACAAGCCCCTTTTATTCTGCATAATGTTAGGCTTTGAGCTGTACAGCTTACCAAAAATGTTAAGACGAAATGGAGCTTGTTGCCATGACAAACTTGTGCTCCAACCAGATTATCCACATATTCGACCATTGCTTTTTTTGCTAGAAGGGTTGGCTTTCTGTTTCATGCCATACTTGCAGCTGAATGAGGTTTCTGGCCTCTCATTTAGGTTGCTCCTCTTACGTGTGCTGCAATCACGAGCCAAGTCCTTTCCATTACTCTGGGATATCTCATGTTTTGCTTGAGAGATCTTGGTACTGGACAGGGCTTCGGGATAAGCGCAGCGCTGCTGGGTAGGGCCGGGACAGAAGCTGAACTCGGGCTAGCTTTCGAACCTCCAACGCTCTCATGAGACTGGGAGTCCCATCTGAGAACATGCTGTTGTGGGAACATGGGAGGGCTGAGGAGGAGTCCTGTTTGCCGTGCTGCGGGTTGAAAGGTCTCTTAGTAAATGGCTTGTCTGAAGCATGGACCGAGTTTTGTAACTTGGCCTCGGTAGCAGGAAGTCACAGGGACCGACCGACGTTGGGGATTTTAAGTTGCACTTTGACTCTTCCATAATGCCCTTGTGTTCTTGTTCTTCAGGCAGAATGTGACTAATATGCGATTCCTGGCTTCAGACCTTAACCCTATGAGATGATTTATTTGCTTTTATTCCTTAAGTAAATAATTGTAATTTAGAGCAGGTTATAAATAGCTTCTTCCGTTTAGTTGCTGTGTTTGCAGATGCCAGTACTTCTTGGAGGTTGTTATTTATATAAACCAACTGAGGTAGTTTTTGACCGAAGATGCCTTATTTGGCATTTCTGTGCAGTACTTCCCCCCCCACACTACCCCAAGTTGCAGTGCTGGGGTGTGTTTAAGGTGGCAAAAGAGCAAGCTTCCCTAGGTTAAAAGGTGTTCAGCATTTCAATATATACAATATCAGGTTCACGGGAGAGTCCTTCCACTCTTTGCCCAAGAGCATCGTTAGGACTGCTTTGTCAAGTAAATAAAAAAACACTACAGTCCCACTTTGACTATGAATATAGGTGCTTCCACATCCTCTGTAATTTAGTTTGGTACATGTTTGGCTGGTTCCAACTTGCTTTGGCCTTTGACCCGGTCAAATAATCTAGTTTTACTTGATGCTAATCTCTAAAGTTCTCCTTAATGCTTTAAAAGAAGCCCAGTATAGGGGAATAACTTCAGCTGCCTGATGTCTTTCCATTTTGGAGGGATGGATGTCGCTTAGACCTGGTAAGCTGAAGCCTTAAAAAGTGGTGTTGTGTTTCCCTCGTCCCAGCGGCTGGCTTCACTCACAAACTGGTCCTGGGTAGTTAAAGTCCAGTATTAATAATGGTAGCTGCTGTGAGCTCATTAAGACTTTGGAAGTCTCTTACAACGCAGTTGAGAACCTCATAGCTTCTCGAGGGAAGAAATTATGAACAATATTGAGAGACTGTGTGTGACTTGGACTGGACTGACAAGAAGCTTATAAAAGTACAGGGCAGAGGTAGACCTAAATTCCTTCGTGCTTCAGTCAAAGTGGTGTCTCTTGGCAAAACGGTAATCATGACTTTGACGCATCTTGTACTTGCCGTTGGAGAAAGCAAAAAAAATACTCTTCGTGCTACTGTAGAACACAGGGCTTTCTAAATGAGAAAAGTTTACTTTTGCCATGGTTAGGGTAGAGAGTAGACTGCGTTTGTTTTCCTCGCTGTGTGCTTATGGAACAAGTGATATCAAAGGGCAATGTGGACCCTTAAATTTCTACCTCTGCTGTAATAATCAGGAAAATAAGAAAAGTGCTAGCTTAGGGATAGGCTTTGAATGCACTTAAGCATTTGAGAGCAGGGCTCCTTATAGCACATGCAATGTGTCGTGCGTAAGGGAGTCTGAGTTGGTACTTCAGTGTACAGGCTTTTCAAAACTTGAACTTGGCTTATTTTAATTTATTTTTATTTGAACAATCCACGCTTTTTCTCCAAAAGGAAGCTAAACGTTTAAGTTTTGAATGAAAAACAAAGCAGCCTGTATCCTGTCATCCAGGTCAGGGTTATTTTCCAGAAACGCTTGGAAAGTTTCATTTTTTGGTTCAACCTCGGTGTCCCGCTTATGGAGCACTCCTCCTTAGGAACTGGTGTTTGAGCCCTGTTCTGCCCTATGGGCTGGGTGTTCTGGAGGGTGTTATTTGAGGGGGGAAAAAAAGAAACAAACACAAAACCCCCTTGTGCTCCCTTCTGACCAAAGGGCCTGGAGCATCACAGGAGAAGTAGTCAGCCCAGGGATGCTGCCTCATGGGAGTTCAGGTTTGGGAACCTGTTTGCCGAGGTTGGGGAAGCATTTTACTGAAAACGTAAACCAAAATCACTGAGCAATCAGAAACTTCTGTATTTTTAAGAAAATACTGTCTTCTGAATGAAAATTCAGGTCCTAATTTGGGTTAAGGAGAAATATTAGATTTTTCTATAGGAAGAGGTGTTTGGCTCTCTCAAGTGAAGCAAGCTTAGAAGCTGTTGCATTTAAACTTTCTAAAATGTTTACTTTTTTTCTTGTTTTCTAAAATTGTTACAGGTATGACTGGCTAGCTGCAGTGCTGCTCTGATGCCCCAGTACTTGCTTACGCTGTGATTTCAGATAACAAAGACAAGTGAATTGCGAAACACATGGTGAGTAGAGTTTGACTTGATATTCTGGACGGTCTTAGGATGCAAACCCCATCTTCATTCCTTAAAAGATGTAGAAGGGGAGGTGCTATACAATTCAGTAAGGTCTAGCCAGAGTACATGAAGTATCTGTCAAGCCTGTGGGAGGATGCTTACAGATCTGAATGAAAGCTGCTCACTTCTTATTCCATGTTTCCATTTTAATATTTTCGTTCTATCAGTGCTGTGTTTTGAGGGGGTTTTTTGTTTTGTTTTGGTTTTTTTTGCAAGACATAATTTACCTGGAAACTTAAAGCAAATTGCATCCTTGATTGAATTTCCCTAGCTTTAGTTCTAGAACCGCAGATATTGAGAACTGGAAACTAGGTAACTGCAAGGATGCCTGTCAGTGATGAATATCTTGAATAGGGAAATTATTCAAGTTGGGTAGGACATAAAGTAGAGGAGAGCCCAGTGTCTTTCATGAGGAACTGAAGCGTCTCTAAAAGCACTTTAACTTTCTTGCAAGGATAGTTGATATTCTCTGTAAGTAAGTATTTGTTTCAGTGTGGCAAGAGAAAATAGAGGTTAAGTTGCCTCGTATATTACGATTGATCTATGAAATAAGCAGAAAACTAAAATTCAAGGATGCTGAGAAAACTTTCTTCCCAGAACAGAGAGAGCAAAGTGAATAACGCTCCTAGGTGAGTGTGTTTGACTTCAGTATACGTAGGACACTTTACTGCCTGTTTCATGAAATCAGTGATGAAAATTAAAAAATTGACTTTGCTGTTTTGATTGTCGTAAATCTGATGACCTTGAGAGAGCAGTGCGAGTCTTTCTGCTTGGCAGGCATTTTTTGGCTGCCTATAAGGAGTACTGCAGGAGTGAAGCTGGCATTAGATTTTTCCCTTTGATTTCGGAAAGAGAGTGACAAACGATTTTCCTGTTCGAACATAAGCCAGTGTGGACTAAGTGATGCTGATTAAATAACTTGGTCATTTTGTTTATGGTCATAACTGTGTATCAGCTTTTGGAAATGCTGTTTTTACTTCTGGACAGAATGACTTCACGAAACAATTTTTTTTCTAAATCGTATTTTCCAGTTTAAATTTCTCATATGGGAAGCCTAATGAGCTTTTGAGTTTTGGTAGTCTCAACTAACTGGGAGAGAAGAGGGACGGGGGTTGGGGGCAGGAACAGTTTCATACTTCCAGTAGCTTCCAGCCTGAAGGAGAAGCATGCTTTCAGTTTTGCTTGATACTATATGTCAAGTTATTCTGCCGTTTTCTCCCTTAAAACTGATTTCCCTTTTTTTTTTTTTTTTTGGTGCCATTACTATGAGTGTCATTAATTGCTTGAAACTTCTTACTCTGAGCAATTCAGACTGGGGCAGTATAGTGCTTTTAATATTTTTGTATGAATCCAGTAGGGACTGTAGTTATCTGACTGTGCTCTCAGTAGTGCCCAGCGACAGGACAAGAGGCAACAGGCACAAACTGAAATGCAGGAAGGTTCCTCTGAATATGAGGAAAAACGTGTTTCCTGTGAGAGTGACTGAGCACTGGAACAGGTTGTCCAGAGAGGTTGTGGAGCCTGCTTCTCTGGAGATACTCAAAACCCACCTGAGTGTGACCCTGTGCAATGTGCTCTAGGTGACCCTGCTTGAGCTGGGAGGTTGGACTAGATGATCTGCAGAGGTCCCTTCCAACCTTGGCCGTTCTGTGATTCTGTGCTTCATTTGGTATTGTTTTGTCTTAAAGATAAGCCTTTGAAGTCTAAAGAAGCATGCTTTGTTGACATGATGTTGTGGAGGGTTTCTTGTGTGACTTGAAGACGTTGGCTTGTTTTTCTTCATCCTTGCCTGGAAGATATTTGGGATCTTGGGAACCTTTTTATCAGATGAAACTGTTTCTGTGGAGTTTGGAATTGGCATGCTTTTTCACTTGAGAGAAGCTCCTGCCCAGCTCAAGACGTCTAATTCCCCTCCGTCCCACTTGCTTTCTGTCCACAGATGTGGATTTTAAGCAGACGCTGTTGGGCAGCATGAACACTAAATGGTATAATGAGTATAAACCCAAGTGTACTTTTTTTCCTTTTAATATATAGTAGAAGTTGATAATGCATTACTGAAATTCTTTATCAGTTCCAAGACTGAAAAAGTAGCACTCTCTCAGCCATGGATATTGCTCCCGAGCTGCCTAACCCTAACGCCAGAGCTCCCATTCCTGCCTCCTGTCTCTTTTTTTTTCCCCTATATATTTTAAGTTAATATTTCAACAAGCTCTGGTTTATTCCACGTCATGCTTTCATTAGCCCATACTTCTCTGTAAGCTGGCACCCTGACTCATGTCATCACTCATTCAAGGAGCATTTGTATCCTCGTCTGCATGTTCCCCACCCTCGGGAGCCTCCAGCAGAGGTGTGCTGGCCTGGCTTCTTGCGGGCATCAGTGAAGCCTCAGCTCTTGCCCTTGTGTTAGGGAAACACTTTGCTCATAGGAGTGAGGAGTCAGCTCTTGACTCTATGTTCTCCTTCAGCATGCTTGCTGAACTTGCAGCGCCATATCTGTGCAGCAATTGGAGGAATCTCACTTTAGGAGCAAGTTTTTCTTGGATGGTGTAAATAAGCAAGAGCAGTAGTGGAACTCCTAGCTTGAACAGTTGCTCATGGGGTACGTCTCTACTGTGCTCAGTAAATGGCGTTTTGGGGTGGCTTTCTACAAAATAGCAATAGATTCACTGCATACTAGTGTGAGATAGACCTGGACCAACGGTGACACGTACAAGATAACGCTATACCGTCTAGGCAATTGGAGCTGATTGCAGAGCGGACTTCTCCAGGCAGTGCTGGAGGAGCTAGTTGCCACCAAAGTCTTAATGTGTATTTTGAAAAAAGGGAGACAACAGTGAAAGCCTTATGTGCCTCTGCTGTTCAGTGGCTGCATACTGTGAGTGGTCCTGATGAGCGTGTGGTACCGAAATACTCTTCTGTGCTTGAAACTTTCTAGTTATATTAGTCATCCATCAGGCTTCTGGATTATTTAAGTGCTGAAGCTCTCTTCAAAGAACAGTGATATCTATTTGTAGAAAAGTACATAATGTGAAGTGCAATTCCAGTATGTTAGTGTTACACTGCCTAAGATGTTCTCAGGAATGCTGTGTCTCCTGATGCGGGACTTCATGATCTATGAAGCCCACATAAAAGATCTGTAATCTTATAAGGCTTCTAGTTTGGTCTTAGGGCTTTGAAAGGTGATGTCATTAGAGCTTCTTCTCAGCCATCAGCTTTTCTCAAAAAATCAAGCCTCTAGTTAGCGCTATGTAGCTTTAGCTTTTGGGCATTGGACTCAAAGCACTGAGAAATCCCAAGAAAAAGGGGACAGGGACTGAGAAGGTGCTCTATAGTGTTAAAGAAAAATATTTGTTTTGTTAGGCAAGGGGGCGGCCCTAAGTCAAACTGTTAATGACCAAAACCATCTTGCATAACTTCTCAACTTGTACTGACTTGATATAAATCTGAAAATGGCTAGAGCTGAACTTGTCCCCTTTTAATCTGTAATTCATTTTTCTCTAGCAGAATGGTTTCTGAAAAATCATTAGGGCGACTGCTAGCTAGAAAATTCATTATAATACAGCACGATTATATTTTCATGGACTTAGAGAATTTGAATCTCTTCTGCTTCTGTAATGCATACAGGTTAACATCATTATCTTCCAACCCCAAAATTAAACACAGAATTTCGTGTAATGTTTGAAGTGCGTATGCTGAAAAAAACACTTGTTCTTGCTTATGCAGTCTGCTTTTATGTAACTCATTATTTTTGCTCAAATGTTGCAGATAGTCTGTTTCCTCTAGCAACAGCCACCAGATGTTTAGCTGAACAAGACTTAATTCTTTAAAACTGACCTGTAAGAAATGTGTGAAGGCGAACCCGGGGGTGGAACAATTGTATGTCAGCATGATTTCCATTTACTTGCTAAAAACCCAGTGCACGTTCGCAGTTTCACTAGAACAACGATGGATCCTTATTTTTTATTGTACACGGTGAGGCCTTTTCCATAGTTTTTAATGTTTCCGTAAATGTACTATTCTGGGGAAAAATCAAGCTATCTCAGGGGAATTGGTATTATTTGGGCAATTAGCACTGTGTATGCCAAATCTGTCTGGCGGATATGCTACCATGCTGATCCTGCTGTGAATTTTGCTTGTCATCTAGGCTTCTTACCTAGCTGTAGCTCTTCTGTGGTCAGTCCTTGTTCTTTGCTAGGCTGATTCTGGTTATTTAACGTCTCTACAGGAAGTCAGCTGCTGTCTCAGTTTCGCAGGTGGGTAAAAGAGGAAGAGTACCCTTCATGTGTGCTGTGGAGCAGGGGTCTTCTGAGTACTGCTGATGGCTTGCAGGCCATAGTTGACCCCCCAGTTATATTGGTGACCGTCCCCCATTTCTACAGCATGCTTTTATCTGCCAGTGCCTCCTGGGAACAGAGCTGATGGTCTAATGTTTATGGGGGGCGTGGGGTGAGTAGAGTCCTGACAGTGACTGCCAAGAGGTTCAAGCAGCCTCTGTCTCTGAAAGGTGCCCATTCCAGGGCTTTGAGTAGCACTGTCCTTCCAAGGCCGTACTCAGCACCGGAGACTACAAAGGGATGCTATGCTGGGAGTGAATGATGCGGTACCCAGATTTTTGAGTCTGTTCTGCTCTCTCTTGGGATAGTATGTAGCCCTCCTCCGGGCCAGCAGAGTCCAGATGAATAGGAGTAAAGCGGCACTATTTCCCTTCCCCCAAGAATATTTTCCTCCAGATCCTGTTAAGCTCCCCTTGTTGTGCAGTTCTGACGTGAAGGTGTGTGTGTTGGAGGACCAAGCTGTCTCCTCTTGCCTTGAGGCACGGCCTGACCTTAAGCTTGAAGTGCAGGACAAGCAGTAGCTACTGTAGTGTCTCCAAAAGCACATCTGTGAACAGCATGATCAGCACAGGTAAGATGCAGCTGTTCCTCAGGAGTCTGAATGCATGAAAAGCC